TTCCCAAACCAGGCTAAAATAACCCAGGCTAAAATAGCCAAAAAGCCAAAAAGCCAACCCACTTCCCAAACGGAGGCCAAGTAATTTTTCAAAACAATAAGGGTATTTAAAGATTGATGACAGTACAACAACAAGGCAGCCAACACCTGATAATTATGGAAACTCATTTTTTACCATCGGTTTGGGAATTATCTATTTTATTAGTTTTTTTTTTTTTGTTGTTGTTTAAATATTTTAATATGGTTAATAAAATTGTGTTCGAGATGATAATTGAATTTTTTTTTTTTTGAGTTAATTTGGATAAGTTATTGGTTGGTATATCGTCACGTAACATCTAATGATATTGTGATTAATGAAAAGAATAAGGTTTACGAATTTGAATTGGAACATGCTGAATTATGATTGGTGAGTGAGGGACATGGCCACTTGGCTTCTTGCACCAATCAATAATTTTTATTAATTTGATAATTATAAAAAAAAATAATAATTATAATTTGAATATAACATCTTACTTATTTTAATTTATTTTGGTAGCGTTTGGTAGAGTTTTGTAAATGTGATTTGAGAGTATGAGTTGTATTTTGAGTTTGTGTGTTGTGGAATTATGATTTGAGTGTAGAAAATTTGTTTGGTAAAGAGTTTTGAAAATAGTTTTGGAAAAGAGGTTTGATTTGAGTGGGAAATTATTGATGTGACATTTGATATGTGATACAAAAATTTACAACTCATAACTAAACATACAACTCAAAATTATTTTAAAGCACATAAAAAATTTAAAAATTTTCAGAAAATATTTGTCCCGATTATGTAAATCAATTGCCAAAAAAAAAAAAAAAATTTGGAAATCAGCCGGACATCCGGGTGGACATCCGGGTGGTCTACCGGGTGGACATCCGAGTGGTCTACCGGGTGGACATCCGGGTGGACAAAAAAGGCGCCTGTGCATCAAAGTTCTCTCTGCAGAGTGTAGAAAATTGATTTGAAAACGAAACCAAGCATCATGCTCCAACACACGGGTAGAAAACTGATTACAGAGCACAACCAAACATTATCTTTTATTAACTATTTTAATTACAAAATAGGTCCCAAATAGGGCTTTGCGGCTATTCGACCGCACACATTTCACGTATCTCCCAAGCGTTGGACGTTTGAAAAAATTAATTAATTTGCATAGGATTAATACACAAAATATAATTATTTAAATATATAAATTTTATGTTTAATAAATGGATAAATTATAAATACACTTTTTAAAATTTGACTAAAATACTAATTACATCTGTAATTTTGGAAATTAAATTTCATCTCCTAAAATTTCTAATTTCATAACAAATTGTCCTTTTATTAATAAATCATAAAATCAATTAACAGTTTTAATGATGTTACAAATATATTTCAATTAATAATTTAGATAATTTTATTATTGTATAGAAGAATAATTATGAATTTTCTTTTTTAGTTAATTCTATTAAATAAAAAATTCTGACAATGAGATATTTATAATTTTTTAAATCACATGAAATAATTTGTAATTTAAACAAATCTCAAAGAGTATATTTGTGATTTACCCTTAATAAATATAATAACCTTACACAAAAATGATAAGCTTTTATAGTTTACCAGTTGTGTACACAAAATCGGAGTGACCATTTTGGACTTAAGAAATAATTTTGTATTTTATTTTTAAATAAATTATATTGATCTCCTTTGAAATTTAAAAAATATATATAATAAATTTTATGATTTTGATATAATTATATTGATTTTTTTTTAATAAAATTAAAAAGATCAAAATTAATGTAAGTATGAAAATTAAAAATATATATATATACAAGATACAATATATATTTAAATGTAAAAGAAATAGTAATATTATTTTTTATTCACACGGCTAACAAATTTATGACCAAAAAAATAATAAAGTGTTATGCAAGTTAAAATTTTAAAAGAATTAAGTATAAATAGTTAAATTTGTAAGACGTATTATATTCTTTTAAAAATTTATAGAGAAATCAACATAATTTACCCTTTTTATCCCACTACCATTTGAGTGTTTGTAAGTTATTAAGTAAATATTTGGGGGATTTAGATATAGGTGCTATGGATTTATTATTCAGTAGATTATATAATAATTAATGATATTTTTTAAATTATTAATTTTTAGTCACAGTTTAAAAATTTTATTAAAAAAAATATCAATAATTATAAGTTTTAGTAACAGTTTAAAAAATTGTTATAAAAAAAATCGTTAATTTTTAACTTTCAGTGATAATTTGAAATTTGAAAAATTCGTCACCGAAAAATATCACTAATTATAAGTTTTAACAACAATTTATAAAAATTATGATAAAAAAGTCAATAATTATTAATTTTTAGCGACGTATATAAAAAATTATCACAAAAAATTATTCTTAACGACGATTATACGATGACTTATTTTTAATAAAACTTTATAAAAATTAAATTTAATTATTAATACCTATTAATAGTTTTCCTAAATACTTTTAGCCTCCGTTTGGGAAGTGGGTTGGCTTTTTGATTTTTTGGCTTTTTTGACTACTTTAGCCTGGGCTAAAAAGCTTGGTTTGGGAAGGACTTTTTGACTTTTTGGCTTTTTTGACTTTTTTTGTGAGAGAAGAGTGTAATGATTATGGGTTGGATGTGATGTTTTATTTTTTATGACTAAAATAGCCTATTTTATCTTTTGTGACTAAAATAGCTAAAAAAACCCCAAACTCTTCTTGCCAAACGAACCCTAGCGTTGCACTTTTGCACCGTCATTTCATTCTTGCCAAACGAACCCTAGTTCTAAGATTTGGCCAAATGGAGCTCTAGGAACGTTACGATTTGATGACCAATGATGAGGAACAGTAAGAATATGATATTTTGGGTTTGGTAAAAGCAAGCATCAGTAATGTTACAAACTCACTCTTATCAATTAAGAAATTATTCATAATTTTTATTTTGTAATTCAGATTTATCCTGTATAAATTTTACATGAATCTCACACTCAAGAATGAAAATTTGTGATACGACACGATAACACAACTCGAATTGTACATAAAATTAACAAGTTAAGATTAATCATTTTCTGACACAAACACGTATGTAATACAATTCAATAGCACAAATATTAAATAGATCGGGTAAATGTCAAATCTGTATAATATGAAATTGACACGAATAACACATACAATAAAGAATTAGTTACACATTTTAATATTATTTCCATTAAAGAGTATCATGACATTTTTTTTTTAATTTCTTACATAATTACATCTAATTTATTAAAAAAAATATGTAAAATACGATTTTAAGTGTAATATAGATTTTGTTTTCACTTTTAATTGAACTTAATGTATTTTTTATCTATTATTTAAGTTAATCTAATAAAAAAATATAATAATAAAATATAACTTTCTATAAATTAAGAAAATAAAATTAAGCTGAAATAAAATATTTTTATAAATAATTTCATTTAATAGAGATTAATTTCATTAAATTTAACTTGTAAAAAAAATTTAAATTTGTTTCATATATTTGATATTTTAATTAATAATAAAAATTTTAACTTGACACATTAACACAACACAAATTGAATACGAATCGAAAAGAATATGACATAATAACAAAAATAATAAACAGCTCGGATTAATATTGAACTGTATACGGACCAAAAATAATGTGATACGATAAAAAATAATAAACGACTTAAGTTGTTATTGAAATAATTTCAACACAAACTTAATATGATAACACAAAAATATAATTTAACATGATACTATGGGTGTGTTTGATTGGACGGACTGGATAAGGAGGATTAGAATCCATCGGATTTGAGTCCTGAAACTGTGAATTCCCTGGACTATTTGGTTGGATTGGATATGTATCTCGTGTTTGTTTTTTCATAGGAATAGATGTCTGGAAAAGACTATTTTTGGTGAATCTAACGTTTGGTTGGACGGACTGGATAGAATAAATGTACAAAAGACTATTGTACCTTTTTTTAATTATTTACTAAGTAATAGTAATGTTAAACATATCTTTAATATTTTAATTATTTTTAGTTAGATTAAATAAAATTTTATTTTATTTTATTTTTTACACAATTAAATAAATTTATTTTTAAAAAAATTAAATAAATAAAATATCAATAAAAATATGATAGTATAAACCCCCATACGAGGGATAAAAAATCCGATTAAACTCCATATCCAGCAGATTAAAAAATAAATAAATAATAAACTACTCACTCTTACAAATAAGCAACAGATTAAAAAAAAATAAATAATAAACTACTCACTCTTACAAATAAGCAATTCAAATAATGAATAGCCACTAATCCCCCAATCAAACGCCCCTTATATGTCCATTCTTACTCACGGTACACAAATTAATCAGCAACCCGGGGTGGATTAGGTCAAGTTTGGGAAGACTAAATAAGTGTACTTTTTGTCTTTTTAGACTAAAAAGTTGAGGTTGAAAATATGAATGTTTGGGTTAACTTTTTGACTTTTTATGAAAAAATGTGTAATAAAAACCCACACCCTCCCCTAGGATAGTATAAACCCCCATACGAGGGATAAAAAATCCGATTAAACTCCATATCTGACGAATTAAAAAATAAATAAATAATAAACTACTCACTCTTTCACATAAACAATCCAAATAGTAAATAACCCCTAATCCCCCAATCAAACGCACCTTATATGTCCATTCTTACTCACGGTACACAAATTAATCAGCAACCCGGGGTGGATTAATATGGACCACAGAGTTTTGGTAGAAGCATTGTGACGTAACGGCCATGGTTACTTTTAATAATTTATTCATTTTATTGTTTGTAATGTACAGTCCCACTTCTTTGCATGTGGAGACCTGGTTTCTGACGAAAACAACTGCGGCCCCAACCCACTCGTACTTCTCTAACTCTACACCCAGTAGGCCCCACACCACACACACACATAAACTAGAACATACCTCCATCTATATATACCCACATGTTCTCCCTACACCATTCCCGATTAATCTCTATCTCTCTCTCTCTCTCTGTGTAAAAATCGTTCCAACAAAAATGCGAATGAGTTGCAATGGATGCCGGGTCCTCCGAAAGGGCTGCACCGACAGCTGCAGCATCCGACCCTGTCTTGAGTGGATCAAATGCCCCGATTCCCAAGCCCACGCCACCGTCTTCCTCGCCAAGTTCTACGGCCGCGCCGGGCTCATCAACCTCATCAACGCCGGACCTCAACACCTCCGACCCGGTAACTAACCCACCCCTACACCTCACCCAAATGTCCAAATTATACACTTCAGTTTGATTTTATTGTAATTTTTAAGATACATATACATCGTACATCACGATTAATTTCAAACTGAGCCAACTGTATTAGCTGCCGTTTAGGAACATAATTGGAAGGAAGTTGGGACTTAAATAAATAAGTATAAAAAACAAATTAGATTATAGTAAGTCATTACATCACAATCATAATCACTTTATTTAAAAAAATAATAATAATAATAATAATAATAAAATATTCTTAAAAATATATTTTTTAAAATCCTCATTTAAAACTGAACCGAATTACTGGTTTAAATTGGTTTGGTTTCAAAAGTTGTATGCTTTAGGCTGTGTTTGGCAAGTGGGTTTGCAAGTTTTTTTTGGCTATTTTAGGCACAAAAAATAAAATAGGCTATTTTAGCCATAACAAACAAAACATCACATCCAACCCATAATCATTACATTCTTCTCTCACAAAAATACTCAAAAAAGTCAAAAAAATACTCAAAAAAGCCAAAAAGCCAAAAAGTCCTTCCCAAACCAAGTTTTTAAGCCTAGGCTAAAATAGCTAAAAAAGCCAAAAAGCCAAAAAGCCAACCCACTTCCCAAACGGAGGCTTAGTTTATTTAAAACTGAACCGAATTACTGGTTTAAATTGGTTTGGTTTCAAAAGTTGTATGCTTTAGTTTAATTTCAAATTTTATAGAATCATAATTAAGAATTCGATCTTGATTTATAACTTAACCAATTGGAAGTATCTCACCCCACATATATTGAGCTCCGATTCTCTAATCTAATCCCATGAATACCCATTTGTTCTTCTAAACCCTTTTTGTTCCTTTTGATTTACAGCGATCTTTCGATCACTGCTATACGAGGCTTGTGGGAGGCTTGTGAACCCGATTTATGGATCCGTCGGGTTGCTCTGGTCCGGAAATTGGTCGCTTTGTCAGAAGGCCGTGGAGGCGGTTCTGAAAGGAGCTCCGATTACCCGGATTGAGTCCGAAGATGCGGAGCGCAACAACGGCCCGCCTTTGAAGGCTTACGACATTCGTCACGTTTCCAAGGGTGACTCGGCCGGCTCAAGCGATCTTCACCGGGTGAGGACCCGGTCCAAGTTCAAGAAGTCGGGGGTGAAGAAGCCCAAGACTAGGCTTTCGGTCGGATCTGGGGACGATTCGGGTCACGAGGAGATGAACCGGTCGACGAGTCATGAGTCCTCGCTGAGTCACCAGTCCGAGTTTGCGGCGAATGTGGAGGTGGAGAGCTTGGAGGCTTCGTTTTTGCATAGAGCCGAGCCGAAGTCAGACGCGAAGCCCAATGATGGAGCTGTTGAGGATGGTGAAGTTGAGCTGGAGCTGACTCTCGGCTTCGAGCCAATTTCACGATCTCACCACAGCGTGAATACTAAGGAAAATGCAATTGGCCGATTCAGTGATTCGGCGGCTGATGATGGCGAATGCAGGATGGAGCTGAGGCTGTGATTATCCTGCGTGAGCGTGACTGATGATAAAGATAGGGTTTAGTTTTAGTTTTTTTTTGGTATACAGATAATATTTTGCTTTGTATAATTTTTTTATTTTATTTTTGGTTTCATCTTTTTGCCCTTTATGAAAAGAGAGATGCACAAATGTGATTGTAACATATAAATATGTGAACAGACAACCTTGGAAGGGGGATTTCCAAATAGAGATGAGAAACTCCAATTCTTGTGTGAGATGATTGTACTACTTTTAAGTCTTATTTATCTATTTATTTTTATTCTCTCTTTTATATATAATTCATAATTTCTCACATTTTTTATTATAATTACTAAAATTTTGATTTAATTTAATTTTAATTTATAATTAATTCTGAATTTATAATTATTTATTATAAATCTTAACTTTTTAATAAGAAATTGAACGTTTTTATGAAAATTGTTTCTTTGAAATTTTTTCCATAGAGCTAATTGTAAATTGATAAATTACAGTGACATCTTTAATTTAAAAAACAATAATGTTAGAGGTCACAATTTTTATGGTCACAATGGCTCAAAACTGTCAAAACGACGTCATTTTAAATGTAAAACATGACAAAACGACGTCATTTTAATAATTTTAAACTATTGTGACCATAAAAATTATGTCCCTCAAACATTTTTCTTTAAAAAATTACACTTCACTACATGTCAGAGATTGTTGTCCCTTAACAAATGTAACAAAAAACTGCTGAAAATACCATATTACCCTATTCCCTTTCCAAACCTAACCAACCATATTACCCACTATTATCTCTCACCACCATCAGGCAAATCTGCCCTCAACCTTTTGCATAGCACCCACCACCAGTATTCACGGGCAAATTATCGATGGATTGCTTCTCTCCAGTGAGTAGACAGACAGTACTATTGAACTCGTGAAATTCACCTTATATTTTTATAAAAAATTACGTTATTCGAATATTAATAATTTTTTTATTAGAATATATTCTTATTAACAGTGAAAATAATTTTAAAAATAAATTATTAACAAAAATATATTCTGATTAAGAGATTATTAATATCTGATTAACGTGATTTTTTTACAAAGCTAAAATATTCAATAAGCTATACATATTGAATGATTTAAATTATTAAAATAAGATCCTAAATGAGTTTCACGGGCCTACTAATACGATTTAGTTCACACTGAAGAGAAGCACATTCCATTATGAAATAACTTACTTTCACCAAACCAAAACCACTCAATCCAAGCAACTCCTATTTCAACCCCACCACCTCTCTCCAAGTCCCAGTTACACCACTGTCGCTACCCGTACATCCCTCACCGATGTGGTACAAATAGTAAATATCTAGTCAAACCAAGTTCATCACAGCCTGAAAAAAAGAAGTATAGTTCAATTGTGTTAAAATGACCAGAGTTAATTGTTCTTGAGAGGGACATTTCATAAATTGGCATTGGGCCAAGCAAGTTTGGGCTGCGTTGAGTTGGACCAAGCAAGTGGGGGTGCGCTCGGTCAAGGTCCCGGTCCGATTTAGCAGGGGTAACATCGGACTGTCAGCCCGGTTAACTTTATTTGCTCGTTGAGTTAGACGGGTTAGGTCTTCCGTAAATCAGTCCAACCAAGCAGGAGATAGATCATAACTAAGGACGGCTAAGCCGCAGTGAGATTGTTTAATAAAACCAAACACTTAGCACGGTCGTGGTGTGACGATGTGGCGTCGTGCTAGGCGTAGCTCGATTTAGTGCATTGCACATTTCAAGAGTAACACGGTTGTGGAGTAATGGAGTGGCGCCGTGCTGTCCGTTCGCTCCAATGCCGTTTGGCGGTTTTGTTAGGTGTGTTTAGTTGTATTTGCGTTGACACGTGGGAAAATGGGAGAGGAGAGTAGGTCCACGCGTCCAAAGGTGAATGGACGTAGAGGCGTGCGCAGATGGTATATAAACGGTGCTGCGCCTTCATACTCAGGTCTGGAACATCTTATGATCACAACTCACCTACCATTTTGCCTCATCTCTTTTCTCTTTTTCATCATCGAAAGGTTTTTCGGTAGAGCATCGCCGAGTAGCTCACCACCATTGTGTTCTCAGGTTGATCGGAGTGAAGCGCAGCTTGGACACAAGAAGTACAGATAGCGACAGATATTTTCTCCCTGTACAATTGGCGCCGTCTGTGGGAACAACCTTGACAGATAACCTTGTCCTCCAAGCTCGTCCAATCATCCTTCATGGCGAACAACGGTGACATTCCACTGTCCGCCATCGACGGCATCAATTCGAAGTCCATTCGGAAAAGATATGGTCTTCCCGCCGTCCCTACCATGGTTGGTCTAGAGACCTTTCCTGGAGAGCACCCCAGAGATGTGTGAGACAAGTGCGCAAGGAGCACTGACCACTGGCGAAGCCTTAACGAGCACCGGTTGCGAAGGGAGTCACACGCTCAGCGCCTGGAGCATAAGCTGAGGGATCAAGATGCCATCATTCGAAGGATAGCGGCAGAGATAGAGACACTGAAGCGGCAAGTCAAAGGGAAGGGTGTTACTGGAGTGGGTAACCACAGTGAGCGCACCCAACCCCGTCGCTCAGGCAGCTAGAACCAATGGCACACGCCCTCTCTCTCCATCACTAAAAGTTATGGGGTTGGAGGCTTTGACCGCCAGTAGAGAAATCTTGCGCACAAGACAACAGTTACCATCCCTCACGTCCGCCGACGACTTCGAGGTATTCCTACTCCGCTTGTTCGAAGGACTCAAGGGACGTCTTAGAAGAGCGAGCGCGCCGACGGGAGGTGTAAAGGGTACCGGCGCTGCATCGGTTAACTTACGGAGGTTGCGCTAGTGAAGAAGTCGTAATGCTGTCATTCCATCCAGTTGTACATGTCCCTTTGGACAAAGATTTGGCAAGGCTAAGCGCTATCTCCTTCTCCCTTGAGATAGAGACCACACTGCTCCCTACAGGCTTTCACCAGCCCAAGTTTACTCTATATGATGGAAAAACTAATCCATACATGCATGTGAGTCACTTCCGGCAGGTTATGGCTAGATACAAGCGTATTGAGGGTGTTTGTTTCAGCTTTTCAGAACCAACTTATGACTTTTAGCTTTGAAAAAGTTATTTTGGACTGTTTGGTTAAACTTATTTCAAACAGCTTCTGATTCTAACAGCTTATTTTAACTCAAAAAAGCTGATTCTGAGAAGCTGCTCACCCCTTGCGTCTGATTATCAGTTTCTGCTGTGGACATGTTAATTTATGGTTATACTCTTAAATTTTTTTATTTTTTATTTTTTTAAAAATAGAAAAAGACTCAAATGGACTATAGATTATTATTATTATTTTTTATGAGATATGTAGACAAACAAAAAATAAAAATTAATTGAAAAAGCTATTTCACAGCTTATTTAACAAACACTACTCAGCAACTTAAATCTATAATCCAACAGCTACACTAAACAGATTAACAACTTCTGATTAAAGTCATAATCTATAATTTGTTAAGATATAATCTATAAGCTGTTTTAACAGCTACACCAAACGGGGCCATTATGAAATAACTTACTTTTACCAAACCAAAACCACTCAATCCAAGCAACTCCTATTTCAACCCCACCACCTCTCTCCAAGTCCCAGTTAAACCACTGTCGCTACCCGTGCATCCCTCACTGATGTGGTACAAATAGTAAATATCTAGTCAAACCAAGTTCATCACAGCCTGAAAAAAAGAAGTATAGTTCAATTGTGTTAAAATGACCAGAGTTAATTGTTCTTGAGAGGGACATTTCATAAATTGGCATTGGGTCAAGCAAGTTTGGGCTGGGCTGAGCTGAGTTGGGCCAAGCAAGTGGGGGTGCGCTCGGTCAAGGTCCCGGTCCGATTTAGCAGGGGTAACAACGGACTGTCAGCCCAGTTAACTTTATTTGCTCGTTGAGTTAGACGGGTTAGGTCTTCCGTAAATCAGTCCAACCAAGCAGGAGCTAGGTCATAACTAAGGACGGCTAAGTCGTAGTGAGATTGTTTAATAAAACCAAACACTTAGCACGTCGTGGTGTGACGATGTGGCGTCGTGCTAGGCGTAGCTCGATTTAGTGCATTGCATATTTCAAGAGTAACATGGTTGTGGAGTAATGGAGTGGTGCCGTGCTGTCTGTTCGCTCCAATGCCGTTTGGCGGTTTTGTTAGGTGTGTTTAGTTGTATTTGCGCTGACACGTGGGAAAATGGGAGAGGAGAGTAGGTCCACACGTCCAAAGGTGAATGGACGTAGAGGCGTGCGCAAATGGTATATAAACGGTGATGCGCCCCCATACTCAGGTCTGGAACATCTTATGATCACAACTCACCTACCATTTTGCCTCATCTCTTTTCTCTTTTTCATCATCGGAAGGTTTTCCGGTAAAGCATCGCCGAGTAGCTCACCACCATTGTGTTCTCAGGTCGATCGGAGTGAAGTGCAGCTTGGACACAAGGAGTACAGATAGCGACAGATATTTTCTCCCTATACAATTGGCGCCGTCTGTGGGAACAACCTTGACAGATAACCTTATCCTCCAAGCTCGTCCAATCATCCTTCATGGCGAACAACGGTGACATTCCACTGTCCGCCATCGACAACATCAGTTCGAAGTCCATTCGGAGAAGATATGGTCTTCCCGCCATCCCTACCATAGTTGGTCTAGAGACCTTTCCTGGAGAGCACCCCAGAGATGCGTGAGACAAGCGCGCAAGAAGCACTGACCACTGGCGAAGCCTTAACGAGCACCGGCTGCGAAGGGAGTCACACGCTTAGCGCCTGGAGCATAAGCTGAGGGATCAAGATGCCATCATTCGAAGGATAGCGGCAGAGATGGAGACACTGAAGCGGCAGGTCAAAGGGAAGGGTGTTACTGGAGTGGGTAACCACAGTGAGCGCACCCAACCCCGTCGCTCAGGCAGCTAGAACCAGTGGCACACGCCCTCTCTCTCCATCACTAAAAGTTATGGGGTTAAAGACTTTGACCCGCCAGTAGAGAAATCTTGCGCACAAGACAACAGTTACCATCCCTCACGTCCGCCGACGACTTCGAGGTATTCCTACTCCGCTTGTTCGAAGGACTCAAGGGACGTCTTGGAAGAGCGAGCGCGCTGACGGGAGGTGTAAAGGGTACCAGCGCTGCATCGGTTAACCTACGGAGGTTGCGCTAGTGAAGAAGTCGTAATGCTGTCATTCCATCCAGTTGTACATGTCCCTTTGGACAAAGATTTGGCAAGGCTAAGCGCTACC